TAAAGATTGCTTCAAATTCAGAGACTCTCTCTAGCAAATGGAATGCTCTTGAAAAAATTTAACTTAAAAAGGCTGTCAAAAATCACTCCATCAATTGCTGACAAAACTGCACTGCTTCAAACACTGTTGCAGAGATGACGCTGGAGCTCTAAGAATTGCTCTTAAAAACACAGGCACCTTCTCAACAGCACGTGTTTTATCAAGGGAAGGGAGATGGTATGAGCAGGATGTATGGAAAGAAAGAATGGGCTGAATCTCAGAAAAGTCCTTCTCTAATGTGTTTACTTTGGTTTTGAAAGATTCGTGGATGGCAGTTCACTCTTCAGGATCTAGAATGCACACACAAAATACATATACATAGTGAAAGAAATAGGACATGGGATACACAGAATAAAGTTTTCATATTGGAGACACCCATTTGTGTATTCTCCACGTGCAGCCAACTTCTTTCATAGTGTGAACGTAGGCCCATATGCCTGTAAAAACTGAGAAGGCCAACTGTCTCTTAACGTACCTGTGGAGATAACCTCCAAGGCAGGTCACGTCTGATAGTAAAGTGATAGAACATTTGTGCTTCGACAAATGAAACTTTGACAATAGCATTTGACTATAAAGTCCGCATTGTATTTAGTTCATTACAAGCAGTGGTGGTGCTAGGACCTCATAGCATTGCTTTGAGAATACTAAAGAATATTCATTCTTTTTGGATGAGCCATGAATTTGCAGTTTTGATGGATGGCAGCCTTCCTTTATTTGCCTGCCTCAAACATTTGTATAAGCATTTTTATTTTGTTTTCAAGAGTATCCATGGAAGCAGCGCATGCGCGTGCTGCAGTTCCCATGTTTGTGCGCATTCATCCAAGCCGGAAGGCTTGCAAATAATTGTGCAAATGTGCATTTGTGCAAGTTTTCAAGTCACAAATAATTTACTCAGTCCTTCCTCCCCATTATAAATGTTCCAGCCACCCAGTCAGGAAGGACACATGGTTCCATGTGAATTAAATAACCAATGGCACCACTCGAAAAGTAAATGGCAAACAGGGAATACTGAAAGCAGTAGACACAATGGGTTCAAAGACATTCATATGCTGAAGTGTTTAATAAAATACTCTTTGAATAAATTTAAATTACAAGTGCATTACTTGATTTCATATCTTGATGTCACAGGGCCTGTAGAGCTCTCTATTGTGAGCCGCTCTATTAACTTCAGCATGATTGTTCACCAAGATAAGCAGTTTCAGTGGATGAAGTGGTGTTTTTAAAATCTTTTTTCTTTTCTAGTCAATTTTTTTATAGCACATCCTCCTTGTGACTAAGAGTGCAACGCTTACATCGTTGTGCTGCACGTTTACCATCGGAATCATAGAGGCTGCTGGAAAATTGTGGTGGTTTAATCTCTCTTTCTCAGGTTAGCTTGAGACGAAAGGACAAGACACAGCATTTGCTGTGTTTGCAAGACTCTGGTCTGCACCATCTTGAGAGGGCCCCACAGCTTGTGACAACTGCTGCAGCTTGGGTGTAGGGACGGGACATAACAGCAGTCCCTTGAAATGGGGCTGATTTGCTCTAATTATTAATCTGTGGGTTGGGGCACAGATTGCAAGCATGGCCAGGATGGCTGCACGGGGGCGTCATTGGAAACTTCTTACTCCAGTGATAGTTGAACTTCAGCTGTCAAAACTGCAGTTATCGTAGATGCTGTGGCCCTGGAAAACCGAAAAAAGAGCTTTGCCAGGGAGCCCCTGGGCCATTTTACTGCAGAGCCTCAGTCGAAGAGCTTCCACTTCTGCTGTATGCACATTCATACAGAGAATTATTTTAAACCGTTTCCTACCTAAGGCAATTACCTCAGATATAAGTTTTAAAAATCCACGCAGAAATACTGCTATTGTTTAAAATCCACTCAATGAGCCTCCTACCTCCACCTTTGACAAACACACTAAAAGAACCGAATAGGGATTACACAGGCAAGGGTTTGACTGATGTATCATTAACACTACTTCTGGAGTGACTAAGCTCCGTAGTAGTATCGACTACTAGTACTGAAACATGATTTCATCCCCAAGACAACTGCAGCTCCAAACAAAGATAATATGCTGGCTCCCTAAACTGTGTCTCTCCAGTTACCGTTATGACGCTAATTTGTTGTAAAATGTTGTCCTGAAGAAGAAAAACAGGAAAACATTGAGGAACATCCAGTAATCTGGTTAGAAGCCCATTCTTTTCCATTCTGTTTCGACAATTTTGTTTGAAATCTTGGAACTGGGGATACTGAACAGGTGACTGTTCAAAATCCAGCATACAGGTTGTTTTATGGATAGAGTCGAGAAACATTTTAATGTAAAATTTCAACTGACCTGAAATTTACTCTGCAAAATGTTTTATTCATGTCAAAAGTAATTTAAGAGGCTGTTGAAGGCATTTTCAGCTTTTGCACATTTGTGTCTGAGATTTGTCCTTTTGAGAGAAGAGAGAAATGGTGCTTAAGACCATTAAAATAAATGAAGTAGTCTTTTGTAATTATTAGTCCAAAACATAAAAAGTTATAAAAATGGGTTTGAGCCAGAACATTTAATCACATACGAAAATCTATAACTGAAATTATTTTCCTGCTGTGTATCTCCTCAGATCTGCAACTATTGTGTTGATTTTACCGAAAGACCCATCCACTCCGAATGAGTGATGCTCTGAAACAATCAAGGGGGTGTTGTTTTAAATCAGCTTCTAGAAATGGTTTTATTATTTTATGAAACAAAGGAACCTTTCCATGTTGAAATCAGTCCCATGATATGGTTTAAAACATGAATAATTTAATGTATCTATAGATTTTATCTTACAAAGACAGAACATACTTAAAATGTAGGAGAGAATGTAGTCTCTGTTCCTCAGATCTGTGAACAGATGACAGTTTTCTCAATTGGTCCATTCTTAGCACATATTTGACAACTTTAAATTTTGTAACTTTGTAATTTCATTATGAGCATTGGAATTTTGAGCAGAACAGCTCAATTGCCGTTGGACAGATGGGTCACATGAAATGCTTTTCAGTCCCCTGAACTGGTGGGGATTCAAGGTTGCCTTGCACGCAGCTGCGGGGTGCAATTCTTCAGCAAATACCTTAGAAACAAAATGTGCTCAGGAAAGCACAGGCTGGAGATCACCGGGCACGGCTGGCAGCGCTGCCCACTGCTCACCACTTCACTGACTTCTTCTTTTTAAACAAAGTTCTTACTTAAGCTCAGTTTAAATCAAGGGAAAAATTCCACCCATTTCAGTCAAAGCTAGGCGTCACTTCTATGAATGAAATTCCTGGAAGACCATAGAGAAATCCTGATGTCAGGAAACGCAGGGATTTCTCCCAGGGACGACAGGCCCAGTCTAGCAGGGCAAGCTCAGCAACTCCCGCAAGATGCAAACTTATTTTCCATGGAAAACAGCAACTGAAGACACCACAAGCTCAGCAAAGATCACAAGATTCGGTTCAAGTGAAGGATGCTCAGCATCTCTCAAGCAAACTCAGGAGCTCTTAGATGCAAGCCCTCCTTTTCCAGGTGTCATAAAAGCCCATACCGAGAGTTAGATTTCCTTCAGGAGTAATAAAGCCAAGCATTATTATTACCAGTAAACCTTCCCCTCCCAGTAATTCTTTCTCTCCTTATTGTCTAAAAATATTTTCTTGTCCTACAGCTATTCTATGTACGCATACTATAACTAGGTAGCAAATCTGGTATTTTAAGAGAAAAATGATGTTACACTGTAGCCTTAAATTGTTAGGAGAAGGTAAAGATGAGAACAGACGTGGGGATGAGGTGCTTTTATCATGCCACAGCCTTTCCTGGGGAGAAAAAACCCTCCGAACACAGCTGCTAGACTCTGAACTGTATCTGGGCTTGTCTGGGCAGAGGTGTCTGTCAGTTACAATAAACCAGGAAACGAGGTTTGTAAAGTCCATGTGTGCTAAGTTGGGTGGATGGCATTAGGTGCACCGAAGCCGATATGCCAAGTGCATTACCGGGGGGAGAAAGACTCCAGCGTACCCCCGTGAGCCACAAAGCAGCTCAGCAAAAGTCAACCGCTATCCCCTACGCTCTCCCTTCTACCCAGCATCGCTGAGGCTCTGTGAGCACAGGGTGGGGATGGACCCGCAGGTGAGGGGCTTCAGAGCCCCCCCAGCCCTGGTCCCTGCTGCCAGCACCCACCCGTGGTGTGTGTCCCCTTCCTGGGGACCTGCTGATTTCCCACGGCCGGAGCCTCCCGCACTCCCGTGACAGATGTTGTTTCCCATCTGGGCTTTCGCTCTGCGATGCCAAATCCTCTAAACATCCATGTGTTCCTTTGTCCCGGCAGTCACCCGCCGCGCCTCCTCCACAACTCCATTTTCAGAGGGGAACCCGCACGTTCAGCCTCTTTGGGAGAGGGGGTGTCCTGCCACCCCTCCCGGCCACCAGCACACCTATCTTTTTGTTTGTTAACGTTATTCAGCCCAACCCTTGGGCTGTGTTAAGTAACCCCGAGCACACACCGAAGCACTTGAGCAGCAGCAACAACACCTTCAATCAGGTTCCCGGTGTCTCTGTCTAAGGGCAGACGGGGGGGAACTCGGGTTTCGGCTGTCCTGCCCGGGAGCTGCGGCCGAGCCCCAAAGCCCCTGAGGCCAAAGCCCCGGGGGCCCCCCAGCCCTCGAGGCCGGTAGCCTCAGATGGGCCCTGAAAAGCCCCGAACCCGCCAGGAGCCCCCTAAAGCCCTGGAGCCCCGGAGGTGCCGGGGGCCGCGGGGTGAGGTTGCCCCCCTGGGCAGAGCTCCCCCGGGCAGCGCTCCGCATCCCGCCGCCCGGTTCCCATGGCAATCCCGGAGATGCCGGTTGCCACGGTAACGCCATCCTCCTCCTCGGCCGTGTCCGAGGCAGCGGCGCGGCTCCGGTCGGGCTCTTGCCCGGCGGCTCCGGGGCGCGCAGCCGGTTTCCCCCGGGAAGTTGCTCCCCCCCTCCCCGTTCCCGGTACCTTCGAGGCAGCAGATCCTCCAGAGCCCCGAATGCGTGAGGTCGCCCCGCGCCCGCCGCGGCGGCCCCTGCGTCTCGTCCGTGGTGATGTTGGTGCCGTTGCAGATGTGGGCGCTGGAGTAGAGCCAGTAGTCGGTGCCGATGGCGATGGCCATGAGGCTGAAGGCGGCGAAGGCGCCCACCGTGGTCAGCAGCATCTGGACGCCACGGTCACACCACACCATGGTGCTTCATAGTCCCCGCACGGGCGCGGGGGGCCGCACGACACCGCCCGGCAGCCGCCGCCCCGCGCCCCCGCCGCACCGCCCCGGCCGGGAGGGAGGAGCGGACCCCGGGGGGGATACGGGGGGACGGGACACGGAGCCGGGCGACCCCCGAGGGGCTGCCGGGGGGATGGCGTTGTCCGTGTGCTCCCGGCCGGCGGCGGGAGGGGCGATGGCCGCGTCCGAAGCGGCGGGTCCCGCGGGGGAGGATGGAGGCGTGAACGGGGCCCGGGCGGAACCGGTGGGAAGGTGGGGAAGGTGTCGCCCACCCGGGGGGTGCAGAGCTCCGCACCGTCACTCCTGTCTCCGGGGTGGGTGACACACGCCTTCCTCCTCCGTTCCTGGAAATCACACCAGGAATGGTGCCAAACCCAGCGGGGACAAAGTCCTGCGACCCCAAGGGTTGCCCAAGGGTCGGGGACATGGGGGTTTGGCCGTGATTTCCTCCTGCAGCTCACCCTGCCATTCGTTACCAAGGAGGGTGTAGGCAAGTGTGTTTCGGTTGCTGGTTTTCTCCTGCTGGGAAGGGGATGGAGTGAATCCAGCACTTAACAATATTTTCCTTTGGAAAACCAAGGGGAGAAATATCTACACCATTTTTTATTGTGTTACCCTGGCTTCCACCCCTGACTCCCATCACTGCGAGTTGACAAGTCGGTCCTGCCTTCCCCCCATCTGAGTGACAAGCCGGATGAATGGGAAGCCTTCCTGATCAGCTAATGCATCTGTGTGGAGGGGACGTGGCAGCACACCAGCTCTATGTATATGAATTAGGGAGTGGGAGGACAAGAGCTACAAACCTCGAGAAGCGCAGCGCCTTCCCGAGCGGTGCGTGGACGGCTGCAGGTGCCGGTGTGACTCCACGGCTCGGCATACCAATGCAGGGAGGCTCCTCAGCTGCTCATCCTTTTCATGGAAACTGGGGAAGCAAAAAGCAAGAACAGATTAAAAGCTGGTCTTTATTTCACAGAGACCTTGGCAAATTGCTCAGACTGAAGCCTTTAAACGTAGAAGAGCTCCAAAGTTAGATGCTTGCCTTAAGCATGTAAATTGTGCTTTTCTTCTCAGCTGTAGTTTGTAGGTCTATCCGTGCCTTTCCAAAATCACCTTCTAAATGAATGTCTCCATTAGGCATGGGCGAATGAAGTCAGGTAAACTCAAAATCAGAGTGAAACCTCGTTCAGAAAAAACTAGATCAAGCATTTAAGTTTAATGAGGTTCAACAAACTTCTCATTTAAAATATACGTTTGTACCTCTGGGCTTTGGGGGTTTGGGCAGAGTGGGAAAATGAGATACTGAAACAGCAGGAGAGAAGATATTTCCATAGCTCTTTAAACCTAGCAAGCCTTAATTAAAATTATTTATTTGCATTACCGTATTGCCCAAGAGAGCTGCTGGTGGCTGGCTCTGCATGGCCAGGAGCAGGGGAAGGGCCGAAGGGGCTGCAGCTGGGGCAAGGTTCCCACTCGGCACAGAAATATCCTCACGTGCTCCCAGTCCCGACGTGCAACGAGATGGAATGAATCGTGGTGTGTCTGGTGGGATCTCAGCAGCCACCACCAGCAGAAAGGGGGGACACAGCTGCAGGGCTTTCCGTGGGCTGGGAGGCACCAGCCCTGCAGCACCCTCCTGCGCTGTCCTATTGATTGCGTGAGGTAACAGTACATTAACAGAATTTATTGATAAAATCTCTGGCTCCTCTTTCTTGCCCCTCTCCCCACAGTCATTTTTGCAAAGAAAACAGCTATTTCTGTTTCTACTGCCCTGTGAGAAACAACTCAGGCTCCTAAAGGGTTACAGAGAAGCATCCAAGGCAGAGAATCATTTTCTGCCCGAGCTATCTTCTTTAGTTTAAAAATGTTCTCTATTCTTTTGAAATGCATGAAGTAGATTGTGGGAGAGCTAATATTATATTCCACTACTGAAAGCTGGTGGAGTATTTTACATTGATGTCTGGCTCTAGTGATTTTCTAAGGATTTTGAATTCATTAAATCCAACCATTGAATAATCTCCATTCGTGGCAGAAGGAAGGCAAAAGTGCTTACGCTCCTAAATAGCAAGAAAGCATGTAGTCTTTTCTTAAGTGTGAAAGCTCTCTGCCCCACTCCATGTGGTAAAGGTTGCCCATCACGTAACCTTTGATTTGCAGACTTTGCTTATGATACAGCCCTATGGTGCTGCCGTGGAACGGGGCTGCGAAGCTGCCTTGGCAGGGGGTTTTGTGCTGCAGTAGCATCCTCCATCCCCAGTCGGGACTAAGACCCAATTGTTCCAAGCTCAGACCAGAAGGAGAAGCTCATGACAGAGAGAAGAGAAAGTCCCTCAGCTTCTCCCTGTAACTTACCCGCCTTGCCCCAGATGGCACCGTGCGAGGGCAAGTGTCCAAACCCAGAAATATTTTTTACCCTGGAGAAACAGAAACTTGAAACAGAATTGTTTTGATTCCTTGATGATGATGTTCAAAGCTTTACATGAAATCCCGTGCCTGATCATTTTACCTCTGGACTGGAAAAGTTTCTTTAGAGATGAAGCTTTAGCTTTAACTGAATTTAGTGAGAGCCATCACTAGTAAAGTCCTGCACCAGAGACACCACCCGTATCAGAAGAAAATTGCAAGATGTTACCATTTAACATTACTGCTTCTGCTGCTCAGTGTCAAACATGTTGACTTTAATAGAGTAGGGTTTTTTTATTTTTTATTTTTTTTTTTTTTTAAATCTATCACCTAGAAAAATAACACTAGAATTTGACTACAAGAAACTTTTGGAAATTGCTCAAGAAAAATTCAAGAGAGTTCTCTCAGAATGAAAATAATCACTTCAATTAAATAGAGCTTTTGATGTAGATACAGTCTAACCAGCATCAAAGCCTGGAACAGACAGATATTTCATCCTCCCTTGTCCTTTCTCAGCTTTTATCTCTATGCATGTGAGAACGAATTTTAACATCTAGAAATGTCCTGAAGCTATAAGGACATCTATAGAACTGACTACTGTCATCTCCTATGGGTCTTGATATATTTCCTATCTAATTTGATGCTGATATTAGGAAAAAATAATCCTTAATAATTTCCTTCAGATTATGCTATGTATGAAGAACTGGAGAAATGCTTCATACATATCATACAGTGTCAGATAATCTTTTATACACAGAGCAGTGGTGGGATTCAATTCAACTCACCAGATTAGCAGCCAAGTTTCACAAGTGCAATGATCTCCAGCCCGAGCAAAGAACCTTGCAAGAACACAGGACGAGGAGAAGGTATCAGTTATGTCACAGTTATATTAAAGAAGGAATAATATTAGTGTTGTTTATGGAACTACATTTTCATATACGTCAGATCAGGTGTTACAGATCAGTGTGATACCTACTGAAGTACATCAGTAGACCTTTGCAGAGCTGGATCCAAATGACTTGCCAAGCTCATAAATTCTGTGGCAAAACAAAGGCTGAATTCACTTCTTCTAAGGACTGGCACCATACCTGACCCACTGAACCACCTGCTCCTTCTACTATCGTTCACCATATATTGCAAGGACATCGTGTCTTTCACCTCCCAGGACCCCACTCTGTGTGGAGGACCTGCTTCCTCCAGCAAGGGAAGGTTGGCAGAGAAGCCACCATCATGTTTCAGAGAGTTGAGTCTAGAAAAAGGTAAACTTGATATTTTTTTTTTTTTGAGGAGTTATAGGACTGAATTTCTGTTTTAGTCCTACAAAGGGTCATCTGAAGTCAGCATGAACAGTTTCAGATTTTCCTTCAGAGCTGAAGAAATGGTCATCTTAAAGGAAAAATATCATCATTCTCTTGCCACTTGAGGGACAACAGCTTGGCCTTGATTCTATTATTCCTTTTAATATATTAAATATTCTTTGGCTTAGTCATGGGAAGCAAAGCAACACAACTGCTTTCTAATAAATAAAATGTGCTCAGAAGCAACTCTGAAGCATTCCAGATAACTGCATTTCAAGTTTGCCAGGAAGCCAGATGCTGCTATTGGAAAAGTAGCTGCTGTGGTTTGTCATCTGAGCCTAGAAATTGATACCCAAGAATGATATGATGAGACAGACTCGATGATAGCACTGCTCTTTCTATAAATGATTTGAAGAAAACATTTTTTTCATCTCAAAAAAGTCCCTTTTGCTAGAGACTTGCACATTAAACCAGAAAATTAAAAAGGATAGGCATGCTGTGCTTGAATGGGGCCATCAAAACAACACGACAACACAACAACAATTTATAGAATATATAGCAGCTTAGCACATTTTACACTACATAGGCTGTATTTTTCTCATAATACCAATAGGTATGAGACTCATTATCTTTTTCACAATGGAGAAACAGAATATTATTCCTTTACTTACTTGATCATGTCAAATGTCAAAGCAAATTATGAATGCTTGTCCTTCAAATACTCATCCCTCCTGATAAGATATTAAATATCAATAGCGTTCACATTCAGCTACAGGATGAACTAATATTGCACACATCTCACAGATCTAAAGTTCACCCTGCCCGTTACCTGTCATGCCATCTCTTCTCTCAAGTCCCACCTCTTGTCCATGTCCTAAGAGCTGGGAGATTCACTGCGGTGATAAATGCCACATCAAAGAGTATCTGGAGTACGAGTCAAAACTGTGAGCGGAGGTTACACAGGAGTTTACAGTGTTAAGAAGGGAATATGAGAAAGAACAAGGGGTTAATAGGACCAGAGCCTTGATTTTGCATCACGGTTCAAAGGATTTGGAGAGGCAGCATCCTGATCAGATGCTATGGGAAGTTTCTAGCACAAGAGACCTGCTGGAAATGGAGTGAAAAACTCATCATCTTTTTGATGGGGGATAAAGGGATGCGCTGACCAAGGGTTCATCCAGACAAGGCACTACTGCAATGAGCTGTGTCTGCTCTCAAGGCAGCGCCCAGAGGGAAATGCACATTCTTTTTGGGAATACAGTGTAATGAGGGAAGGGGAAAAGAAAGGAAAAAAATCTATGAGGTTTTTGTCACACCACCCATTATCA